ATTACAAATGTAAAGGATTACAGGTAGTTTAACATTTGGAATGCAGGTATTAAAGTACTATAATCAAGTTGGAAGAAGCAGTATAAATCTGAAATTTTCTCAGTAACCAGTTGAATACATTTAGACTAGAGAATGAATCATTTATTTCAGTTCAAAGTTGCAGTGTCTGAGTTGAACCGCAGAAGGAATAAAAAACTCCAAATTTGTTTAAGAATAGCAGATAACTGAATTCCAAGTGATAGCCTGTGATTTTCAAGGCAGTCAGAAAAGTTTCATGGAAGCCAAGTGAAGGGAAAGCCAAATGTCAAATGTGGCATTCCTTCATTCAGTAAGCATTTATTGATAGATTGCAGTATTCTAGGCAGAGGGATTGAAGAAGGCCAACCATGATGACCTCTCTAAGTCTATTGAATTTGCCAATAATACACTTGCACTAAGTGGTCCTAGTGAACCTAAATCTCAAGTCTGCTATTTTCTTAATGCCCATTTTCTTATCCAAATAACTTGTACATTAGGCTTGTAACTGCTTTACTTAGATGCTTATTTTCTATGACTCTAAATATATATCATTGCTTTTAACCATTTTTATACTATGAAAAGGGATAGCCTTCTGCTGCAATGAGATTTGTGAACATATATTTTAAAAGAAATATATCAACTAAACATCTGGTTTTGGACATACTCTGTATCCTCTCTTCCACTAATTTTTTTTTTTTATTATTATACTTTAAGTTCCAGGGTACATGTGCATAACGTGCAGGTTTGTTACATATGTATACATGTGCCATGTTGGTGTGCTGCACCCATTAACTCGTCATTTACATTAGGTATATCTCCTAATGCTGTCTCTCCCCGCTACCCCTCCCCACAATAGGCCCCGGCGTGTGATGTTCCCCTTCCTGTGTCCAAGTGATTTCTTTGTTGAATTCCCACCTATGGGTGAGAACATGCAGTGTTTGATTTTCTGTTCTTGTGATAGTTTGCTGAGAATGATGGTTTCCAGCTGCATCCATGTCCCTACAAAGGACACAAACTCATCCTTTTTTATGGCTGCATAGTATTCTGTGGTGTATATGTGCCACATTTTCTTAATCCAGTCTGTCACTGATGGACATTTGGGTAGATTCCAAGTCTTTGCTATTGTGAATAGTGCCGCGTTAAACATACGTGTGCATGTGTCTTTATAGCAGCATGATTTATATTCCTTTGGGTATATACCCAGTAATGGGATGGCTGGGTCAAATAGTATTTCTAGTTCTAGATCCTTGAGGAATTGCCACACTGTTTTCCACAGTGGTTGAACTAGTTTACAGTCCCACCAACAGTGTGAAAGTGTTCCTCTTTCTCCACATCCTCTCCAGCACCTGTTTCCTGACTTTTTAATGATTGCCATTCTAACTGGTGTGATATGGTATCTCATTGTGGTTTTGATTTGCATTTCTCTGATAGCCGGTGATGATGAGCATTTTTTCATGTTCTGTTGGCTGTATGAATGTCTTCTTTTGAGAAGTGTCTGTTCATATCCTTTGCCCACTTTTTGATGGGGTTTGTTTTTTTCTTGTAAATTTGTTTGAATTCTTTGTAGTTTCTGGATATTAGCCCTTTGTCAGGTAGTAGATTGCAAAAATTTTCTCCCATTCTGTAGGTTGCCTGTTTACTCTGATGGTAGTTTCTTTGCTGTGCAGAAACTCTTTAGTTTAATTAGGTCCCATTTGTCAATTTTGGCTTTGTTGCCGTTGCTTTTGGTGTTTTAGACATGAAGTCCTTGCCTATGCCTATGTCCTGAATGGTATTACCTATGTTTTCTTCTAGGGTTTTTATGGTTTTAGGTCTAACATTTGAGTCTCTAATCCATCTTGAATTAATTTTCATATAAGGTGTAGGGAAAGGATCCAGTTTCAGCTTTCTACTTATGGGTAGTCAGTTTTCCCAGCACCATTTATTAAATAGGGAATCCTTTCCCCATTTCTTGTTTTTGTCAGGTTTGTCAAAGATCAGATGGCTGTAGATGTGTAATATTATTTCTGAGGGTTCTGTTCTGCCCATGGGTCCATATTTCTGTTTTGGTACCAGTACCATGCTGTTTTGGTTACTGTAGCCTTGTAGTATAGTTTGAAGTCAGGTAGCGTGATGCCTCCAGCTTTGTTCTTTTGGCTTAGGATTTAAGATTGTCTTGGCAATGCGGGCTCTTTTTGGTTCCATATGAACTTTAAAGCATTGTTTTCCAATTCTGTGAAGAAACTCATTGGTAGCTTAATGGGGATGGCATTGAATCTATAAATTACCTTGGGCAATATGGCCATTTTCACAATATTGATTCTTCCTATCTATGAGGATGGTATGTTTTTCCATTTGTTTGTGTCCTCTTATTTCACTGAGCAGTGGTTTGTAGTTCTTCTTGAAGAGGTCCTTCACATCCCTTGTAAGTTGGATTCCTATGTATTTTATTCTCTTTGAAGCAATTGCGAATGGGAGTTCACTCATGATTTGGCTCTCTGTTTGTCTGTTATTGGTGTATAAGAATGCTTGTGATTTTTGCACATTGATTTTGTATCCTGAGACTTTGCTGAAGTTGCTTATCAGCTTAAGGAGATTTTGGGCTGAGATGATGGGGTTTTCTAAATATACAATCATGTCATCTGCAAACAGGGACAATTTGACTTCTTCTTTTCCTAATTGAACACCCTTTATTTCTTTCTCCTGCCTGATTGCCCTAGCCAGAACTTCCAACACTATGTTGAATAGGAGTGGTGAGAGAGGGCGTCCCTGTCTTGTGCCAGTTTTCAAAGGGAATGCTTCCAGTTTTTGCCCATTCAGTATGACATCGGCTGTGGGTTTGTCATACATCGGTCTTACTATTTTGAGATACATTCCATCAATACCGAATTTATTGAGAGTTTATAGCATGAAGGGCTGTTGAATTTTGTCAAAGGCCTTTTCTGCATCTATTGAGATAATCATGTGGTTTTTGTCTTTGATTCTGTTTATATGCTGGATTACATTTATTGATTTGCGTATGTTGAACTTCTTCCACTAATTTTTAAAGGTTTTCCTCATATAATCTACTTCTTCACTGTGGTTCATTTAATTTTTTCCTAATTGGAAGATAGCACAAAGAGTTGGCAGTATACATTTCTATGTGACTTTAAGCATGTACAGAAATGTTGCAACTTCAGTCTGATTAGGAATAATGATAAAATAATATAAATATAAATAAGGAATAAAATAAATTAGAAAATTAGGGGCTCCAAACCTCTTTAAAGTATTTTCCTTTTGTTATAACCCATTTTTTTTCTTATATGAACTCATTTTTATGATATAGTCTTGTCATTAGGGCAAATCATAGACTTGAATTAAATGATCACTAGACACCACTTTATTTTTTTAAGTTTTTGTCAGCCTCCATCTATTAATATATCTTTCCTTCTATTTCTCCAGCCTAGTGCCTTATAACAATAGGAGCTCTATAAACAGTACTTTTTTTTTCTTTTTTCGGGGGTGGGGAGACAGTCTCACTCTGTTGCCTAGGCCGGACTACAGTGGCACAATCTCGACTCACTATAACCTCCACCTCCTGGGTTCAAGTGATTCTCGTGCCTTAGCCTCCTAAGTAGCTAGGATTACAGGCATGTGCCACTACACCCGGCTAATTTTTGTATTTTTAGTAGAGATGAGGTTTCCCCATGTTGGCTAGGCTGGTCTGGAACTCCTGGCCTCAAGTAATCTGCCTGCCTCCCAAAGTGCTAAGATTACAGGCATGAGCCACCACACCTGGCTATAAACAGTACTTAAATGGTGAGTTAGCACTTTCTTGTGAATTTCTGTAATACACTCTATTCTTTCCCTACTCTTTGCCTCCTGACCAGATTGATTCAGTAGGAGCTACTATTGAAGATAATTAACCTAGGAATGAAGTTGAATGGTCTCCCCTTGGTCTTCACTGATATCTTTGTGGGTGGCTCCCCCACTCAACCTTCTCTGTTCCTACCCCAGCAGAAGGTTGGGACTTCTTTTTACAACCCACAGAGGATGGATGTCTAGCTTCACCACTTGGCCTTTGCTGGTAGGGTTGGGGGTGGGCTGCTGTTTTTTTCTGTGGTGTTTAGCTAGAGTGGAGTGGTTCTTGTTGAAAAGCTTCTGTCTTGCTAGGCTGGCCTGCTTCCTGGATAGAGAGGGCATGCTTTTCTTGGGGCTTTTTTTTTTTTTTTCCTGGGTCTCCTCCCATTGGTGTTTTTGGGTTGTTGGCGTCTCCAGTACCCAGTTTGAAATACATGAGACAAAAAGAAAATACATGAAACCAATCAACGAACCGAACAAACAAACAAAGAAACAAATACATGAGACAAAAAGAAAACCCATCGTTTTGTTCCTTGGATCCTGAGCTCCCTTGTCAGACTGCCACCTTCTCTCCATCTTCTGAAAACAGAAGTTTTGCAGGAACATAGAATTTAATTTACAAAAGTTATATTATGCATAACCTTAGAACAGTTGACACTGTGTTTGCTCACTAATTACTTGTTGAATTGAAATAAAGAATAGGTGCATATTTCTTGAGATGTTTGTATCCATTTAAGATCTTTGTGATTTGAGAAAGGAATAGGTAAGTAAAATAAACACCTAAAGCAGTTCTACCAAATTAATTTTCAAATCAACAATTTCTACATCTTTTAGTAAACAATTTATAATTTAGAGGAGGAAAGATAAAAAGTTTTATATTGAACAATAACCTCAGTCTTTTAGGATTGTTACATGAAATTCATTTTGGATGATCATTTATCTTTTAATTCTTCTAGTGCTGTAGATTAAATGAGCCTGGTGTTGTATTACTAAACTATAGATCCTTTGTGGAGCCAGTGGAGGCTTTCTATTCTAAACCATAAGTTCTCACTTATTTTGGGGCTGTCCCACACCCTGAAAGATAAAGATTCAAATGAGTCAGGTGATCTTTTCACAAATGCAATTGGAGTGTTCAGTGTACATTTTTAAAAGTACTTTTACTTTCAGCTTGAGTCACTCTTCCCAGGCTTTATCTAGGCTTAGGTTAGCTAGGGCTGTGTCCCATGATGTACAGTCCCTTTACACAATGTTGGAGATCAAACTTGGCTTCATGTCTTGCTTCATATTCCCACGGCCTCTCAGAGTCCTGTGGATGATGACTGAGGAGACAAACCATGCAAGCAACATACTTTTTAAAAAGTCAGTTTCAATAATGACTTAATTTTAAGTTATAATTTCATGGAACACTTTCATCACTTTCTGTTTCACAGTATTTTACCCAGTTATTAATTAATCTAAGTAGTGTATCTTCGGGAGGTAAGACAGTTATTTCCATTTTACAGATGAGGAAATCAAGAAAAGTCATTTAGTTTATGACTTATCCAAGAGCATTCAGTGAGTTGAGATTAGAAGTGGAACAACAGACCAAGATTGGAACTCTAAATGTTTTCTTTAACCACCATCCTGTGCTTAGCCCCATAGACCGTGCCAGTAACCAAATTAAATTTATTTATCTTTCACAATGAGAACAAGGGGGAAATTATCCAATTAGAATTTTGTTATAGACATGGTCTGTAAATATCTAATTTTCAGTCTGATGCATCAAGAATGTTAAATCATTATCATATGTCCTCTTTCATATGTAGTATAATAGAAAGCCCGTAATACAAGATGATAATTTTTTAAAAAATATTCTTATTAAGAAATATGGTAGTTATTTGAAAATAAACAATTCAGTTTAATTTTTTACAATGTAAAGAAAAATGTGATATGTACATAGCAAACATAAATATAGTACATATACTTTTCATTAGATATATTCTATATCTGCACTTCATACATTATACATACACAATATAAGACACTGAAAATTTGGGATAGGTTTATAAACTGTCGATGCTACCACATGAAAGAATACTGTTGTGTGAAATAATTGGAATTTGGGAACAGGCTTATTTAATTTTCATCTTCGCCTTCCCCATTAGTTTAAATGTATTTAAATATTTATCTAAATACGGTGTCAGATTGGTCTGCTATAATAAGAATACCGTAGACTAGGTAACTTAAACAACGGATATCTACTTTCCCTGGTTTTAGAGGATGGGAAGTCCAAAATTAGGGTGCCAGCATGGTCAGGTTCTGGTGAGGCCCTCTTCCTGGTTTCCATATGGTGGCCTTCTTGTTGTATCCTCACATGGCAGAGAGAAAGGAAGCAAGTGTTACTGAGTCTCATATGAAGGCATTAATCCCATCATGAGGATTCTACCCTCCTGACTTAATTGCGTCCCAAAGGTCCCACCACCTCATACCATCTCTTTGAGGGTTAGGGTTTCAACACATGACTTGGGGAACACATAACATATAGATATAGTTTCTTTTTAGAGTAGTTTGTTTCATGTTGGGAAAAAGTTACTCAAAATTAAGGGCCTAAATTCTAGATACACCTCTTAGTCTGCTAAATATATTGATTATGGAAGCACATTTGCAGGATTGTCTTTGAGAGTTAGCATCCTGACACTGCAATTCATTTGTATTGTAGCATCATCATGGAGATTTCCTTTGTGCTTCTTCCTTTTCACACTTTCTCCTATTCCTGAGATTCTCTTTATGCACTCTATTAAAATTCAAGTCAACATCAGGTAAAGCTGGGTCATAATGTATTGCTTTTTCAGACAGCGGCTTCTGTTTTTCACATTGAGTATTTTCTTTAAAATGACTCAGTTTGAAGTGATACTAAAGAAGTTTAAAATTAGAGACCATAGCTCAGTTATCTAAGATTAGGAATGCCTATAATAAAACTAAAGTATTATCAGGCACACCGCCTTGCGCTTACAGTCCTAGCATTTTGGGAGGCCAAGGTAGGAGGATCACATGAGGACAGGAATTTGAGGCCAGCCTGGTGGGTAACATGGTGAGACCGTATCTCTACAAAAAATAACCAGAAAATTGTCTGGTCATGGTGATATGTGCCTGTAGCCCTAGCTACTTGGAAGACTGAGGTGGGAGGATCACTTGAGTCCAGGAATTCAAAGCTGCAGTGAGCTATGATCACACCACTGCATTCCAGTCTGAAGGACAGAGTGGGACCGTATTTTTAAAAAACAACACAACCTATTTATTATACATTTTATATCCCAAGTCCAAATTAATTATTCCTATGTTTGAAGTCCCATATTATTTGATTATTAGCATTTATTTTATTTTGCCTTGTATTATATGAGCTGTTTACTTGATCCTCACAGAGTGTAATAAAGTGCTTTACACTTTGCCTATTCTCAAGTACATATTTTAGATTAAATTTATCCCCCTAAAGAAAAGATCAACATGCGACCCCTTTCTGATATCTGGTCCATTAGTGTGGATATGTTGATTTTGTTTTTATTCCAGCTTGCTTCTCTTTAGACTATCAAATTATAGATTCATTTTTAGTTTTACTTTCTATTAATAGTGTATTCACTAGTTAGATTGTTTTCCCAGTATTCTTTTAATTTCTCATGGTAAGAATAGATTATCATTTCTCAATTACTTCTAAATATAAATTCCCTTCTAATAAATGCCATTTAGATATCCAGTCCAACTGTAACAGTGCCTACCACACAGTAGGTGCTCAAAAAATCAAAAAATGAGTAAATGGATGAATGAGTGAACTAACGAATGCTCCTTACCGCCTGTCCATTTGATAGTTTATTCATGTATGTATTTATCAATATGACTGCTATGTTCATATATTTGCTGTTGCTAAAAATTCTTAAACTTCTCAGTGGTAAAGGCTGACTCTCTGCAAGTGGGCGTGAACATGTTACCTCAAACCTATTAATTTAAGATGTAGCAAGTTAATATTATCCAATGTAGATTGATAGTCTAAGACCCACTAAGAATTGCATGGAATTGTTATATAGATTAAATGAGGTATACAAATGTAAAGGGAGTCTGTATAACTGTAAAGTACTACACCAAGGTTAGTTTGGTTAAGCACACTTTTATTAATATGGAACTAATAATACGTGTTGTAGTTACTAACTATATTTCTTAGAATATGCAATGTACGTTTGAGCAAACAGACTGGATTATATAAATTGTCAAGATTGGAACTAAGCTCTTCAGGAGTATCTAATTCTTGGCAAGGTGTCTTTAGGTGTTCCTAAATAATTGGAGGATGTAATTATGAGAAAATTTATAAATGAATAACTAAGTATGTACTGTTGACAGATCATTATTGAAAAGCAGATTTCTAGATGTCAGCACTACAACTTAAAAGTGAAGCTTTTTATTTTGAATGAAATATTAGTAGTTTGGGTTTATTTGTACAAAATATTCAAAGACTGGATGTTGAAAGATTAAACTTGTCTCTAGAGATTATTTAAGAACAAGACTAGATTTTCTCTTCATTTGAAATTAGAAATGAAGGAAACAAGTAAAATGGTTTATAGTTGAAAATGTATTGTGAATTGGAAAGGATTTTCAGTTCCACTCAAGAAAACATTTAAGTCCATTAGTAATATCTGGCCTTTTAATTTTAAGCCAAAAGCAATTTACTAAGGATAGTCTAACTTTAAAAAAGTCACTGTGAAATATGTTTCTTGGTTTACAGTTTTGAGCGTTTGGAAAGCTATATAATTTTTTTCTTACCTCATACAAAAAGAGAGCATTTATCTTTTTTCTATAAAATTTTCTTTTCACTGATGTCATTTTGTTATGCTCCTTGCATTTGTACAATAGGATAGTACAAAGTACTGTGGTCTTATTATTCAATGGAAATGTGGCCTTTCAGGGATCATTTGCTGTCTAGAAGTCTATTTACCAGTAGTTACGAACAGGTTGTGCTTCACCGTTAGGTTGATGTGGTTGCAAGGCAGCATTTTAAAAAGAGAAGAGTTTTAAATATCATGCTTGGAAAAGATCTGAAGGACAATTAAAATCTAATGTCTAATAACCATTTTAATGCAGATATCATTTTAAAATTGTTTGTATTTTGTTCCCTTTCTTTGGTATAATAAGTCCGTTAGTCATGATTTCTTTTAAGAACCTACTTAGGATTTTAGGCAGATAAAGGCAGTTGTCTTAACCTCTAAACAACATATAGTGTATTTAAATACATATGTATGATAAATCCTTGCAATTTTAGATCAAACCCTTTTGGAAGTCCAGATGTGGTCTGCACACTGGTTGAGTAGAAATTCACTTTTTTTGTTTGTTTGTTTGTTTGAGAGATGAGAACTTGCTATGTTGCCCAGGGATCCTCCAGGCTCAGCTTCCGGAGTAGCCGGGACTATAGGTGCACTCTACTGCGCCCAACTCCCAAGTTCATTTCTGTATTGACTTCGTAGAGTAACTTGCTTAACAAATTGATAATTATACATACATTTCAAAAAATATGTTTAGCCTTGCTAAGTGAAAAACAAAATCTTTCAAAGAATCATTAAGCAATTTCAATTGCATTGGTTTATATACAAACAATATATTGTTTACAGTGTCTAGCATAACTTCTTTGTATATGCTCATTTTAGTAACAGTACAAGGCTGAATGAGGGAAACATATAATAGAGAAATGGCAAGCCGACTGAAAGATATAGTTAAAATAGTTTCTTAATTCTGTTTGTACTTTCCAATATGGTAGCCACTAATGATGTATAGCTGTTGAGCACTTGAAATGTGGCTAGACTGCAGTGAGATGTGCTGTAAGTATAAAATAACACACCACATTTTGAAGACTCGATGCAAAAAGAAAGAATGTAAAATATCTCACTAATAACTGATATGTATTGCTATGTTGAAATAATGTTTTAGAACATATGGTTAAATAAAATGTATTATTAAAATTCATCTTTTTAAAATATGACTACTAGGAAATTTAAAATGATATATGTGCTTGCATTTCTAGATAGCACTATTAAACAGCACTGATCTGTATGATCTTAAACATTACAATTATATATTGGATAACTGCAGCTTTAGCTTGTGTTCTAGAAGGAGTTCAGATGTTGTACCTGTTTTGGCCGCATTTTCCTTCTTTGTATTCTTCTCTCACTCAGCCTTGGTCCAGTTTGAGAGCTGTTAGTGTTCCAGCATAAGATTCTCTTCTTAATCCTCTTTTTTTTTTTTTTTTTTTTTAAAGACTGAGTCTCACTCTGTCATCCAGGCTGGAATACAGTGGCGCAATCTTGGCGCACTGTAACCTCCACCTCCCGGG